TGTAGAAATTGATGTTCTATTGACTTTAATGTTTTATCTTACAAAACAATGTATTTATACAAGGTAATCAGACGGCTTACCGCTTAACCTAATTCACCCTCTTAACTTAAAACCCATGCAATATAACTATACAACCTAAACATATATAGCCCAATAATTAGCAAAAGTAACGGTGAAAAAAATATGAATTAGCGGGATAACCATAATATAGAGTAGCTAGGATATTTTTAATATTTTATATCATAAAGACAGAAAGAAAGAGAGGACTTGACGAGTTTGTCTTCTCCGATGAAATAACGGTGAACCACCAACCCGCCTTCATCATTTATTTTTGAGAAATTGTCGCTGCCGCTGATGGAAACGACTTCTCCGTCACCTCCGTTATTTTTCGTCGATCGATCTCGTTCGTGAATACGACTTATTCTCCACCATCTTCTTCACTCTCCTCCGATTCGATACCATGGGTGAGTATGACTCTACTCCACCACCGTCTTCTCCGTCTCACTGTGACGAATCATTGCTCAAACCCTATGTTACAACATAGCCACGTCACAACAAAAAGAAGACGTCGAGCGTGTGAGGGTAGAACGATTAAAATTTGTCTTTGATGGCCAGCTAGTTACCTAATTACTTCATATGCATAGTTTTTTTTTTTTTTTGGTTCTGAAAATTCATTAATTGAGAAATTAAACACTCGGATTCATTTCCGATGCCATCGAAAGGGCATGGAGAGATTGTTTTGCTAGAGAATCTGCCACTAAATTGGTTTCTCTCGGAATAAAGATAAAAACAACATCAAGAAATTGAGAGGAAAGTTTGTAGATATCGTGAAAAATCCCAAAGATTTCCGATCGGTTTTGTCCAAGGTTTAAAACTCAGATTAGTTTGTGTGCATCGGATGCGATACAGAAGGTTTCCAATCTCAGTTCGAGGGCATGATTGAGGGCAAAGCGGATTGCAAGGGTTTCCGCCACCAAGGGGGATTTCACAAAATCCATAGCTTTTGATCCCTGTCCCACAAAGATCTTATGATTCGACTCGATTCTCCAACCCATGCCTGCGCCTAGTCGATCTTCCCTCCATGCTCCGTCTGTGAAACATCTGTTCATGTGAGATGGGAACTCTGGTCTCCAATTCTTGCGGCTTGAAAGTGAGATTTTTTCCTTACGG